ACTAAAACTTCACTAAATTGTGGGAAACAAAAATAATGCATAGATAGTTTCCAAAAAGTGAATAATACCGTCTTCATATTAAGCTTACTAGAGTTATATAATTCACACAGAAAAGTCACTTGTGCATATATTAAGTATGTAAACACCATACAGATTAAAGTAGTGTACTAGTTTGCTGCTATTTCATTCTTCACACAAAAACAAAACCACCTATGTTATCTACACGGACGGTCAATTAGCTCTTTATCCTAACTTGCACGCGTGTTGCCAAAGTGGCAATGGACAACAAGCTGTTGCCACTGTTACAGAAGCTCATATCCCAATTTGTCGTTTTTGATAACTTGCCCTCAGAGGTGTTGCACAAGAATCCTTCCATATGTTAACTGAAAGGTCAGAATTAGAACTGCTTCTAAAATCTCCATTCATCAAACCTGTGGTTGTGCTGTGAGACACACACTCCTCCATCACAAGACTCTTTGAATTCTGGGAAGAACTCCTGCAAGTTTTCAGTTTAGCCTTGGTTGATTCTGTCAAATTCATGTAGCTTGGTTGATGAACCTCTCTTTCCTCTGTTGCTTCCATCAAAACAGTATTGGTGGACGGAAAAGATGGAGATCCAGCTGTATAAGAAGTTGACACAGGACTATCATCACACATGTATTCAGAGCTTATGGCCGAAGATGATGGAGTGGATTGGCTAGTCATTAGAGGTTTAACTGCTGAAATCCTGGATGTCACACCATTCTTTCTTGATTGAAAAGCAGGAACAAGGTCTTCAATCTTCCTGTAGTTTGGACTCTCCCAAGGCTTGGCCTCCATCCAGCGTTCTAACAAGCTACATCCTAAGCTCTTGTTGCTTAGGTTGTGCTGCTTGAGAGGAGTCAATAACTTATTGGCTTTAGGATTTGGACTGGCAACCAGTCTTGACTGCTACATGCAAGCAAAATTTAAATTCGAACCACATGAATTTCTTAAGTTGTTAGCTAATAAAATCTTACCAAAGAGACAAGCTTATGTCAAAGACAATCTTGCCAACTTCATTACCTGTGTGGACAGAGAGTATGCCATTGCTCTATCCCTCTTGATAGCTCCTTCTTGCCTCATTCGTAGCTTTGCTTTAACTTCATCCACGGTTCCAGGAATGTCACACCATCCTTCCTGATAACCATAACAGAAAAAATGCTACATGTTAGCATCTTCTAATATGTTAACTCAAAATCATGATTAGAGAATGTTACATAATCTTGAAGCAAATTATTAACCTCAATTTGCTTAAAAGGATCATCTAGGTTGCGATACTCATCAAGTAATTTCTGCACGGCTTTCCCTTCAGGAGAATTCCTAACATTCCTTGCCCTCACATGAGCCTGAACTCTAACAAGAGCCTGCATACACCTCAGAGTGACGGCTGCTTGCTTTCTGACTAACCGACCTCGAAAAATAGCTTGCAGCCTTACCACTGCCCTCAGGGCCCTCAAAGCTCGTCTAGCCTGCAAAACGTATCAACAGAGTTAAGGTCAATATGAAAAATAAAATAAAAAAGGTAAGAACAGAATAGACACATTCATAATTTGCTACTCATTAGAGACACTTAAAAAGATGACCAGGAATATGAAAATTCATTTTCACTTGGGTTGAGATTAGATTAGCTCTGAACTTATTTGAAATCATAAAAACACATGCATTCCTTTTCTTATTTATTTCGATCTATTGGTGGATCATGCACATATTCATGCAAAGCTGCGGGGGTTCCAACTCCCAACTTCTAAATCTTAATTCTTCTTTATCCTAAATTGGAAATTCAAATTTCAGGGTCACATCTATCATAAACATGGGTCTAATTCAAGATGTGTTATCAAACATGAACTCAGAACATAATTAACAAGCTTAAATTAAATTGTAAGTTAATGCATCCATGAGGGTGAAAGTTACCAAGAAAGCTCGAAACACAGCCTGAATACGGATGGCAGCCCATTCCTGCTTGATGAGCTTGAAATCTTTGGGAACCATCACAGCCACCGCATAAGTAAAGGAAGAATCAGGTACGGCAGCTTCACCAACTTTCTTCACGGTGGACCCTTCCGAAGAAGCCCTCCATAGCTTCCATTTCTTCTTGCTCTTGTTTTCACCACCCTTCTCCTGATTACAAATTACATTACATTACCCATACTTACTCTGTAAACAGTGAACAACATCAAAAACACCAAAAATAGAAGGTTACTACTTCACTTACTTGATCAGTTGTTGAAGTTGAGGTCTTTCGAAAAGGAATGAGTGACTTGAACCACTTTCCCGAAGCACCCATTGGAGAAAAGTAACAGTTTTTGCCGAACAAACGGAACGGGTAAGAGAAATTTGGTTTCTGCTGCGGAGCACTAGGAAAGAGAGAATTTTGGGGTTTTAGTTGTGTGTAAGAGAGAGAGTATGTAGCTATGTGTTGTGTTGTTGGGTTAATTAAGGCAAGGTTGAGAGAGAAGAAAGTTTTGAAATTTGAATGTGTGTTGGTGGAAGAAAAAGATCATGAAATCAAATCATAACGGTAACTAGAGCCTCAAACTCAAAAAATCAAAACTCACTTTTTCTTCATTTCCCACGCACGCTCCGATTTGACCATGGGAGTTGCTCCCTCCACAACCACCAACCACTCCCTGCACCTCTCCATACCTAATTTGCCCTTCTATAAAACGGATGTCAACATCCGTTTCACCTTCAACGGATGTCAACATCCGTTTCACCTTCAACGGATGTTGACATCGGTTAACGGATGTGCCACATCCGTTTAATAAATTTTTAAAAAGTATTTTATTTATTATTTAAATAATAATATATACATTAAATTAATAATAATTATTTTATTAAATAAAATAAAATTAATTTATAAATAATTAAATAATAATTTTTAAAAAATTAAATAACATTTATATATTAATTTAAAATATAAAAAATTAAAAACAAAAAAACAAAAAAGGTAACGGATGTCGCCACATCCGTTAACGGATGTGGCACATCCGTTTTAATATATTTATAACAAATTTTTTAATTATTATTTAAATAATAATTCATAAATTAAATTTAATAATAATTATTTTATTAAATAAAATAAAATAAATTTATAAATAATTAAGTAATAATTTTAAAATAATTAAATAATATTTATACATTAATTTAAAATAAAAAAGATTAAAAAAAAACTAAAAACCAAAAAAAAAATGCAACGGATGTCGCCACATCGTTAACGGGGCACATCCGTTTTAATATATTTATAACAAATTTTTTAATTATTATTTAAATAATAATACATAAATTAAAATTAATAATAATTATTTTATTAAATAAAATAAAATTAATTTATAAATAATTAAGTAATAATTTTAAAAAAATTAAATAATATTTATATATTAATTTAAAATACAATAAATTAAAAAAAAAATTAAAAAAAAAAAAACTCAACGGATGTGGCACATCCGTTGAAGAATTTTTTCTTCAACGGATGTTGACATCCGTTGAAGAATTTTTTCTTCAACGGATGTTGACATCCGTTGAAGAAAAGAGGTGGGAGTGTAGGATATTTTAAAATATAAAGGATAGTTTTGGAATTTTAGAAAAATGTGGTGGTACAGGGAGCAAAGTGGGGTGGTGTAGGGAGCAACACCCTTCGCGGATTCTTGACACAGCACATTAGAATAAGACCCAATATAACAAAGCCCAAACTCTTTTTTACAGATTTCTTCAATAATCAATTCTAGGAATGTTCCATTTAGTTTGGTTATTTTTAATGGCATACGTGTATAATAAATTATTTTTTGTTGTTGATTGTCGTAAAATAATTTTTAATTACTTATGATAAGATGCTAAAACTAATTGTGTGAAAAAGAAGATAAAATGTTCAAAGTATAAAAATAGCATTTTTAAAACTTTTACTTTTGTGATAATCAACAATTTACAAGGTAAATTTCTTCTTTAAAAAAATGAACTCCGAGACCTATTACAACGTGTATAAAAAGTGTAAAAGAATCTTGAAAAGAAATTATTCATTAAACATTAATTATTCTTACTTCTTTCTTATTTTTTTTAATTGGCACCAAATAATTTGAAAAACTATATCAAACAACAATTGCCTTTTATAATTGTCAAGTCAAATATTTAACAATACGCCGAAAAAAAAAATCCTCCCAAATCATAATAACACTCATTATATTGTTAAAATAATCAAGATTTAAATATTTTATTTTATCTTTATTTTTCTCAACTTTGTTCAATATAATATTTTTTTTATTCATGGTCTCAATTTTTTTGTCTCTTTTTATCATTATTTAAATTGTTAACAATATTAACCTTGTTTGAATGATCTGTTAATTTTTTTTAACCTGGTTCATCTAGCAGAAGACTTGGAAGTCTGCCATTCAATCGTCATGGTACATATTAACCGTGTTTGAACGTATATTGACGCTAATAGTTTGGTTTATTTTTGTTTTGAAGAACTAAGAAAAAAAAATTAGCAAAGATTTGGCATAGGTTCATAAGTATGACTTGAGAACAAGCTTTAGAAAAATCATCATTAAGACACAATCGTCATCTCTCTCTTGTTGAAGAACAAGCACAAACAACAATCATAAGATGCAGAGAAAGTTCTTTCAAAATAGTTTTCAGACCAGTATAGTATTGTGATATTGTGGAGTCATCTTGCTTGCAATTTTAAAGTTCTTCTTTCATATCATCAATACAAAACTTGTAACCATGAGAAAATAGTTGAAGAAGATAGTGTCAAATGTTAGAAGCAGTGCCAGATTATTGAAAAGAATAATCCACTATTACATAGATGAGTATGTTGACTATATACAATGATCCAAGCAATACTCCTAACAAACATACTATAACAGAACAACAGAAAGAAGAAAGAAGATATGAAACAGAATGAAGCTAATACTCTAACAATGACTGAATCCACATCAGAAGACAGGCAAGAGAAGCTAATAAAAAATAGTTGTATTTGCAAATGTGATGTGACATACACAAGAATGAACTATTAACCTAACCCCTTACTACCAATGGATAAACTGCCAAACATCTAAGGGGCAGGAGAAAAAATAATTCCACAGAAACTTACTCTATATGAACTGGCCAATGAAAACCCAAATGAAAACTAAAGAAAAAAGTTGTTGGGTTAGCTCCTTTGTGACCTTTATAATACTGTAATATGTACCAATGGTCCAAATTTAAATGCTAAAACTAAAGCAGTGTCCAGCATGCACTTCAATGTCCTTGTAGCATAGGGCTAGGAAGTCCCATGTTCACAAGCTTAGGTGACAGATGTTTGGTTCTTGGTCTGGGAGAAGGAATTGGTGCTTTGTCTGCAAATGTTCCCTGGTTGTCTCCAGGTGAAAGATTGAGCTGTTCAAGTGCTTGCACTTGGAATTTTGTTGGATATTCTCTCACACAACCAATCCGAGGACCTACTCCAGTACTCCATTTGCTTGACATTGGCTTGTTCTCATGTACTGAATCTTCTTCCACTTTTTCTTTACCATTATTATTAGCAGTGACAGAGTCACTGCCACCCACATTGCCTTCCATGTATTCAAAGGCCAGCTCCTCATCATTGGCAGGTTGAGAAGGTGGAACATCTTCATCCACTGCATCTTTCTGCAGCAGACAACCATGAAATTACAAAATGTTTCAACAAATTTTCACCAAATTCATGCTTCTATTGAATGCCAATTTGACAAAGCAATAGGGAAAGATGTTTTTATAGTGTTTCACCTTTACATTTGTCATATCCACACTGTGTTCCTCCAAGAAGCTAATGAATTCCATGAAATTTTTCTCTGTTGGACGGTAGTGACCACTGTATGGCCATATAGCCTGCGTAAGATGTAAAATGAAGATCAATTTAGAATTAAAACTATTGTAAAAACTGTAAGATCAATTTAAACTTTTGATTTTGACATTCATATATAGCTGTAAGATTAAAACTTTTAGTTATCACATTCTTTAAATAAGAACCATTCTTCAATTTCCTTCTTTGGAATCTTGCATTTGTGAAAAAGGGGTGTACGTATAAAACAGATTGCAGCATACTTGAAGAACTCCATGCTGAGCAACCAATCTTCCTGATGCAATGGTTGCACCACCAGCCAGAAAACTAGAGTGCTGAAAATGGCCTTTATTCTTCTGCCCAACATACAAAACTCTAGATAGGCTAAGAACAAAAATCCACTTGGATTCCTCGGTAGTGTGTACAAGTTTCTTGCTCTCTCTATAAACAAGCCTCCCTCCCTCTACAACCACTTCATATGCTTCCCTTTCTTTCTGCAAAATTCAAGGAACAACTTTGAAACTTTTAATATCAAGTCATTATAGGTGAACTCAACAATTCACCAGTATCAATGTCACCTAATAAGATGCCATTGTTGCATTATAGAATTAGTACAAGTATTATCATACGTGAAATTGTATATGCTATTTAGTGAAACAACTTACAGGTCCAAGGTACTTTATGCACTGGTCCTGCAAGTCCCTTCTAGAACATGCTTTTAGCTCCACTTTTTTGCCATCTCCAACATCCAACCTTCATTCACCAAGATGCAATTAAGAAATTAGAAAATAGGGATTCAATTTTTTTCAGACCAAGGCATTTTAGCATTGCACCATTAACAATTTACCAGTAGAAAAAAGGCTGATAGCTCTGGCTACGAAACCAGACTTCATAGTAGAAATGAAGATTGTGACCATAACGATGACGGGGATCAATCTGAAAAATATATGGAAATCATAGCCTTGATTAATTGGCTTCTTTGGACTCTAAGAGAATAAATGACCAAACAAAAGAAAATTTGTTATATTTAGAAAAATGAATTTATTTGTTAGTCAAGATGTAGATGGATGAGCTTACAGCTTCAAGCCAGTGTCTCAGTGCAAATTTCTGTGCCTTATCATCTTTGGACAAACCTTTTCCCACCTAACAACAGAGAAAGAAAAAAGTATAGTGGTTGTCATTCAACAAGATCCTAAAGGAAATTTGTTTAGAAAGGAGATGGTAAACTTTGAATACGTCTCTATGGTCCTAGTCAAATTATGTTAAGTACATCATCTTTTGGGAAATGTAAATGGTTCAAAGAAGACTAATATGGGCCCAAATATTGAAGCAAAGTACATAAAAAGATATTCCTTAGTCAAAGTAGATTAAAGTTTATGGCTTCTAATATTAAAAAATACCTTAGCAGCCATCATCCTAGCCCTTGCCCATTTTGAAATAGCTGTTTCTGATTTATCAGGGTCAAAATGGGATGTAGAACACCTGGTAGCAGTAATCACCGAATCCTTCCACCTGGACCAGAGAAAAAAAAACTTAAGACAGTAGTTTTTACTGAGCGCTAATAATTGAATTTGTAGGCTATTATAAGCTTCAAAAATGCTTAAATGTACTATTTTTAACTAAAAGTGTTCTTTAATCATTAGAAGAGGCTAAAACTACATAGTTTTTGCAAATTTTTAAGAGAAACAAATTAATGGAAAATTTTGACTCCTAATTAATTGGCAAGAAGTAGTATTTTCTAGCACTAAATGCAAATATAAGCACAAAATGAGAAGACAAGAATAGAGCAAACCACAGCTCCTCGCAAACAACTGCACAATCAGCCAGAATTCTTCTGATCCTGTAACTCTTGTAGACTTTCTGAAGCTTAATTACTGCTAATTCAAGCTGAGAATAGGGTTCTGGAGAAAACATTTGTTCTGAAAGCATATATTTGAACGAGAATGCGGTTTGGAGCTTCAGATTTCCAACCTTCCTTCTTTTCAAACTTGTAGATTTTTCAGCAGTTGCATCAGCTATCTGATCAGGCTTAAAGAAATCATTCAAATTTATGTCGTTCTCGAAGCTCACCGTGACTTCTCCTTCCTTGTTTACCGCAAATATTCCCATTCCTATGCAAAAATCTGCAACACTGCTTTACATTTTCCAGTATTCATGTTAACTATATATACGTGAAAGTTGCAATCAGGAAGAACAACCGCTATTAAATGATGAGCATACACTTCTCAGAACAAAAACCAACACACCTATATCTTTCATTTCCTCAGGAAGATCAAGGACTAAATCAGTCTCCAAAAAATCATTAATGCCAATCAAACCAATGTTCAAAATTGAAAAAAAATCACAATTTCAGCGTAATGAACTACATGATTCATGTTCTAGTGGAGGATACGTAATGAACAACATTTCAAAACTGAATATAGATATGCATGGGATAGCTATAAAAACACAGCAAAATCATATACAGAAAGCAACTAATATTAAGAGAGTTTAAATAGAAGGAAGAGAAACGACTGACCTGGTATAAAAAATTGAGGTTGTCTATAGTTTCATGTATACAGCAGAGTGTAGCCTTTGAAATGGCGTTTCCCAGAGTCTTATATACTGCACAAGTTTGGAAGAGACATTAGGCAGATAGAATTTCGCAAAGTATGTCATAGAAAAATGTGGACAATTGAAAAATCGGTTGCCAATAAACTGGTTCTGTTTGAACAGAAAATTAAGAGGAAACATCATGTGACTTTGGTTCCATAAAATTCAGTTATTTTGAATAGTAAATAAAAAATTAAAAAAAAAGAAAAGGATGTTGCGACTTGCTGAGCCCACGAGGTGTTGAATGGGTTCATTCAAATATTCACAAAGTATACCGATACGTATATGATAGTGAAGAATAGTAGGTGTCTTACATGTGTATATTTATACCATATACCGTACCGTACATTGTTTTGTACGTTTTGGAAGCAGAAGAAGTGAAAAGGAAAAGTTTGGCTTCACGCGGAGAGTGGAAAGACAGAGAATGAGTCCAAAGCGAAATTTTGGCATTATATTTCAAAAACAAGAACGGGTCCAAATTATAAATATGTATTTTTTTAATAAATAAATATTTAGATATAGATAAAAGGCAAGAAGAAAATGTCTAATGTTATTCTTCAATCCATTATTACAAGTTCCAAGGATTTTCTTTTGATAATACTGGTTAATACCATTACTGATAAATATGGGTTTAGAAAAAAAATAATTTTTTTCTTCTTTCCACAACAACAAAATCCTTGTATAAATTAATAATAGATAATCTATTATGACTTAATGAGGAGGAAAAAAAATTACACAGACAATTATTCATGTTTAATAAATTTAAGATTACTAAATTAGGAATGTCATGGGTTAACCCACTCTATATTTGACTTACAACATAAGAATTATGTGTTAGTTTTTTTATCCGTTACCAATTCGTATAAAGAAAATATTATTATTTTTTTGTATACAGAAATATTAAAAAAAACTTATACAAATATTATAATAATAATATTATTTTAATGTTTCATATTTTCATTGCATATATATATATATATATATATATATATATAAAATAAAATTGAAATAAACTAAATAAATATAAAATTAAGATTCACATAAAAAAATTCAAAATTAAACCTTTTATAAAAGCATAAAAATAAATCGCTGTTTAACCATTAATAATATTAAATTTAAACACAAGAAAAAAAATAATAAAACAAAATAAAATAAAAATTTACCTCACTTAGAAATTAAAATATAATAATTTTATCTCCCATCATTAGTCCAGATTATAATTTATGAGAGACGAATATAAGTGGATCAACATTATAAAATACTGAACCCGCCGCACATTATTATTCTTAAATTAAACTAAATTTTAAAATAGTTACAGCATAAAAAATGAAGAAGTTTTATTAGCTTTATAGTGGAACTAGAGACAAAAGTGAGGCAGGTATGAATTTACCATAATAGCCCTTCTGAAGTAGAGAAAAAAGCTTCAGATGGTGAAACCAGAGTGTGACTGGGAGGATAAGATTGAGACAATAAGAAAATCTGAATTTTTGATCTGAATGTTAATTGTTAAAAAGAAAGTTTATAACATAACCTAAAAGCTAGTATAGAAAAAGGTAAAAGGTACCTCAATAATGTTTATGGTGAGAAGAAGTACAGTGACAGCACAGAGGATACACTGGTAACTGTTTCTATGAATGTCACCAAATGGAACACTCTGGCTGTGGCTCATGGTATTCCCAGGTAGTTACATTTATAGGCATAAACAGAATGGTTTATCGTGGTTCCAATTTTTAATTTGATGTAATTAAGGTTATTAAATTGTTCCATCTATTTCATGTTGTTGATTGAGGTTTAAGAGAAGGACAAGTTGACCAAATGGCTTTTGCATTTTACAACTGGTCATTAGTTGCAGTGATGCATTGGAGATGAAACAAAAATGGCTCTTGCTTCTTAAAAGTGGTCACAGTGACGTCAATGACCTTCTGCGTAATGGAATATCTGTGATTAACAACAACACGCAATGCACAAATCATAGGTGGTGTGTCTGGTGACAATTGATGTCACAAGTTTTGAAAAATGGATTAGCTGTGTTGCATTCAGATATGCTAAAAAATGGGGTAATATATATATATATATATATATATATATATATATATTTTTATAATAAAAAGGAGAGTTTTAGATGAGGATGAAGAGATGAGAAAAGTACCATGCTGTTAAAAATTATTATAAAAGATATTCCATGAATAATATGATTTTAAAAGCTTTTACATTTTGCCAGCAAGTCTCTGATTTGGCAGTATGAGATCAATGGTTGAATATATGAGATTGATGGAATGGAAGATGGAGAGTTTATTTATCTTAAAGTTTTGCAAATAAATAAAATGATATTGAAAACATTATTATTTTTCTTTTTTAAAAAATGTAGTTTCATACGCTATTCTTTTATATAAAAAAAGAGAAAATAATTAATATAATAATATATTAAAAATTAATATTACATTGAATTATGAGAGTATACATAATTTTAAAACTATTTTGTACAATGAAAACTGTAGTTATTTTAGTGATATTTTAAACATAATATATAATGTTCGAGTACATGTATTAAACTTATCTCCATAAAAAAAAGTTAAATTATTTTGAGATAAAAAAAAATTCTACAAGAAAATGATTAATTTGTAAAAAAGAAAATCACATAATCTTTATGGGAAATGTTTATTTTTTTAGTTACTAAATCATATAATATTATAATATATTATATTGTATCATATAGTTTTAAAATTAAATTTTTTAAAACTATTACAAAGCAACAAATATAATTTTTCTTCTAAAGATATTAGACCTATTCTCTAGCACCATACATTTATATATAGAGAATATAAATACACATGGAGTTTCCCTGCATTTCAACCCAAGTTGTCCTTTAGCATGATTTATAGATGAGAGATTCATGTCATTAACCTTTGTATCTAGAACATCTCTAATGGAAGATATATAGCTAATGTTTACTTTCATATGTAGTAAATAAGTTAGATTTTATTTATTAGACTAAAAGATCTATGCTCTTTTTATTAAACTCAATTGTTCATATTTTTATTTACAGATTTCATCCATGTTAATGAACAGTATTTAATTAGATTTGAGATTAATTACAATTGTTATTTTTTTGAAAAATAAATAAAAATGTTAAAAATTTAGGTAAAATTATTTCAGTATCAATTAAAATATAAGATTAACAAGTAATTAAATTTTTAATTTAAAAATATTAATGACAATCTTTTAAAATATTATTTAAATTATAAAATGTAAGCATCTCATTATACTCAATATTGATTTCAAAATGGATTTAGTAAAAAAATTAAGAAAATTATATTCTATTAAGTAACTAATAAAAAGGAAATAAAAACTATATAATTTAGGAAGTGTTTATCTCATTATTGATTCAATAAAACACATGAAACTTCGATCTAATATAAATATTATAAAATATGTTACGAAGAAAAGAGAAATAAAAAACTATATAAATATTATTTCATTTTCAAAAATAAAATCCCAAACTTATATGTGTTTGCTATTCTTTTTTGTCTTAAGCTTATTGTTTTTGAGACAGTTAAGTTAGAGTCAACTTTAATAAGATGTGGTTTATTTTTAGATTAAGTAAGGATTACCATTTTAATGGTTTAAAAAATATGAAGCACAAAATTTTAAAATATAATTATTGAATAATCAAGGATCAATGATAATATATTAAAAAATATTTATATATATTTTAATTATAGAAAATAAGCATTTATAGTGTCAGGTAAACAATCTAAAATATAAATATTTTAAATCCAAATTCATCCACTTATTCTCAATACTGCTAAATTGAATCTGAATAAATTCTAGACTTTGTAAATGTTCCCTTTTTCTGATTCAAAACCAAGAGACATTCATAACCAAAAACATTCAAACTACAACCTGTTATGTGGAAAAGTATGCTGCAGAAAATGAAGAACACCCAAATTTAATGCCTTCTAAAGAAATGGTCCAAATTTTGGATATTGATGAAGAGATTTGTCTCTTTCCCAACAACTAACTCCTGCAAAGTTGACTCTAACAAGAGTAATAATATATTAATAGATCCATTTAACTAAGTCAATAAATACTACTGCTACAGTGAAGTATTATATTTGCTGCAGCAGAGGCTAATGTTTATTTTTGTATTTTATTTTTCTGCTGCTCCATCTTTATATGCATAATAACTGTCACCCTGCCATTGATTTCTTTCTTCCGTATATGGCAATGAAATTAAAGCATCACTAAAAGACAATGGCTCTGCAGTCTAGATATCAAAATCCTTATTTTAATATGAAATATCAGAAAAATTATGAGGGTGTTGCAGGTGTTTTCAGACCCAAAATGGGTGCTGTCATTCTGCACTAATAGATCACCATATATTGTGCAATGCTTTTAGATTGATTGTAAGAAAGATAGGCTTAGACTTTGGCTTGGCTTAAGGGTGAAAGAGAGTGGAAAACAGACTACTCTTAGAGCACCTAGTGAGGTGTCAAAAGAAGGTGAAACTTGTGCTAGTGAAGCAAAATCACTTGCTTCTCAAGCAAAATCTCTCAGCTCTCTGCAAGACTCATCTGATAAAACTTTGGAGTTTATTCTGATCTTTTTGGGAACTACAATTGTTAGCTACCCTTTCTCCCCTTCTTATATTTCACATTTCACACCAAATCAATAATCATGCCTTGCCTCTTGTTGTGAAGGGAGAAGCAACATTCACATCATCATCATCACATTCATCATTTGCTGTTTTGAAAATAGAAAAATGAAAGTAACATTATGTTGTTTTCTTCTGCTAGCTCTACAAATAACCAGTTGGGAATCTGCAGTTTTAGCCACAAGATCCTTTCCTCCTTCTGATACCATGTCCAATCCAGGTTATTGCTTAAACCACACACTGTTTTTATCTTTGACTTGTTAGCATCATGTGAGCAATTATATCTTCATGATATTCAACTTTTCTCAGTCCATTTCCTTTCCATGTATTTTCAAACTTATATAATTTATCTTGATCTTTTCAAATGTGAACATTGCTCTTTGACAACTAACTATTTCATTCTTTTTGTACTATGGTGTTGTCTATACTCCATCAGGCCCCCAAGAGGCACCAGTACCAATGTCTTCACCACAGAATACTGTAGAATCAGAAAAGGTTTGTCACCCTTCTCCCATTTTAGAGTTTCATAGGTGGATGCTAATTTCTGGTATGAGAAATGATTAAGTAGTTGTCTTAAATCATAAGCTTTTCAATTGCTGCAAAAGAATACTGTTTTGCATATAAAGATCAGTTGAGATCATTATGGTTTCAGACTTCCTAGTACTAATGTGTTTGTTTTCCTTCGTTAAAGGGTCTAATGGACAAGAAAGTTATGTCGGATTCAATGGAAAAAACATACAACATAGGAGTGAGGAAAATAGGATCAATTCCACCAAGTTGTGACCACAAGTGTTATGGTTGCACTCCATGTGAAGCTATTCAAGTTCCCAGCACCAGCAGTAGAAACAATCATTTGGGTTTGCAGTACTCAAATTATGAGCCAGAGAGTTGGAAATGCAAGTGTGGTCCTTCCCTCTACAGCCCCTGATGAATATAATATATGTTTCTCCTGTTCATACCATTCAATATGAATATAGTAGTTCATATATAATTAATCATCTCCTTCTCTCTCACCTTCGTATTTATTGTTTAATGTAGCGCAATCTTCCTTAGGCTTGGAGCCACCATTATAAACAACACATCTTAATTATAATCTATAACTTATTCAATGTAGAACAATCTTTTTTATCAAATATTCTTAAAAAAATACTTTCAGGAATGTTTGAGAGATGATTTTAAGAATTGCGTCTAAAAAATAATAATAAAATTTTAAATTAAAAACTTTATTATTTTTCTTTTGTTTTAAAAGTATTTATGAGGAAATTGACACATACATTTCTTTAATAAGTTTATCACGGTTGTCTTTTAAGTTTATATAGTTTCCTTTTGATTTAATAAACTTAATTGCTAGTCTAAAAAATAAATCAATTTGTGTGTGACATTTTTTTTTTTTAAGTTTTCGGCCTTTGTTTGTACATTAATTTAAATTTAATATCAAGTTTATTAATTATCATAGATTATAATATTACCAATATTTTTATTTAGCAAGTTTCTATCTCAAATCAAATCTCAATTATATGTGTATATATATATACACAGACACACACATAGTCCCGCATTTTGTAACCGACTCTGTTTCTCCGAAATGGCTTCCCAGGCAAGTTTCTCTGTTTTTCATTTCACACTGTTCTTAATCACAATGAAATTCCAGAAAATTACTGATACTTAACAGTATCAACTATTTCACATCATTTATTTTTATTGATTTGTGAAGGTTGAACCAATATTCGATATTTTTTCTGTCGTTTTCCATTTAGTTATATGAATCCAAAACAGATTTAGAAATTGAAAAGGATATATATGCGGATTCGAGGTTTTGTGCTTGTTTCAGTTTCAGATTCATATTATTCAGTGCTATTATCTCGTAAACTTTACCGAATCAATTGATGAATCTGTATCTGCAATAGTGGAAACAGTACTGACTGAATGGATTAAATAAGAATGAGATTCTTTTTTCTCTTGTTTAGTCACAATTGAATACTGCAAGGCTTAATTGGATTCTCCGGGATAATGAGTACTCTGTAAATAAATTATGGTTCCCAGCATTCTTCCATTCATTCCACTTGACATGTTTTTTATCATACGGATATTGAGAACTAGTATCGGACAATGAACGAGAACGATTATCAAACTGAAAATAGATTGACGTGATAAAAAAATGGTGAAATCTGATTTCTCTAAGGTATAGGCTGAAAATATTATATAATAGTGTTAACTCTCCTTTCATGAATTGTTGGTACATTTTATCTGTAGGACTCATGTCCGTTGATAAAGAATATTCTTCTTCTTGATTCAGACGGAAAGCGTGTGGCGGTCAGGTATTTTTCAGAGGACTGGCCAACTAACAGCTCAAAGATTGCTTTTGAGAAGTTTGTGTTCAGTAAGACAGTTAAGACAAATGCTCGAACAGAAGGTAAGCGTCAGAGTTTAAGAAATACTCATCACAAAACCAAGTCATGATTTTAAATGCGATGCTAGGATACTGACATATCGTAGGTATTGCAGGCTATAATGTTACGCAGATAGGTCTTTTAAAGTCTGTTGTTGTTTATGTAATTTTTGGATCATAGTTAGTCTTTCTTACTTTCGGTTTCAAAAGTGATTTCTTAAGCATAGTGAGGTTATAAGTAGTAATCTTGGGGGCTCAATAATCAATTAAGAGCTTTCGGCTTCTTTTCTATATCTTTTACCCGGAACCCGACATTTTTATAGTAAGTTTTTATGAAACATTCTAAGTAGCCAGCATGTCTTATTTCTTGCTTTAGCTCATAATTCCTCTGATGATGTCCTCCATTTCTATACCCGTGTGTCAAGTCTGCAAATTAATTCCAAGATATAACGGAAGCATTTTCATCGTCTCTAGGCTTGATTTTTCCTCTTTTCCTTTTTGGACATATCAACATGCATCCAGCATCAGTATTTTCTATAGACCAAACTATGTGTACTGGTATTTGCTGTTATTATTGAACTAAAGAACGAACTTCGTCAGAATGTTGGACTGAACAATTTGTCACTGAAATTTGAGATATATAAAGTATTGGTTATTCTTTCCAGTGTGGCTTTGAAGAGGTTTCTTTTGATCATTATTTTATATTGTCATTTACCACCAAGTGGAAGTCTTTACTCGTGTTTTTTTGGTAACGGGGGTATATTGTTTCACATTATCTTTAGCTGAGATCACATTGCTCGACAACAATGTCATTATTTACAAATTTGTACAAGATCTCCATTTCTTTGTCACTGGCGGCGATCATGAAAATGAGATCATTTTAGCTTCAGTTCTTCAGGGTTTCTTTGATGCAGTCACGCTTCTCTTAAGGTGTTTTAGATTGGATTATTTTTTTCTATTTTTTATCTAGATTTTATTTACAGATGCATTTTACTCATCATGCTTCTGTCTTCTCTTCTATTTTTTTCTTGTGCCATTTACAGGAACAATGTTGACAAAAGAGAGGCGCTTGAAAACTTGGATCTTATTCTTTTATGCCTTGATGAGATTGTGGATGGAGGGTATGCATATGTCATTAGTCACATTTCTTTCTTGATATTGCAACTATTTTTATTTATTTTGTAAAGGTTTCCCTCCTTGAAGGATGATACTAGAAACAAATGGACCGCTTATTGCTGAAAAAGTGACCTCCCATAGCATGGATGGCGAGTCCCCCCTGACTGAGCAGGTAATGCAACACTCTTTCTGTTTTGTTTCTTGCACTAATGTATGCATACTGCTTTTACATTACAGAGTCAAATCACTTGCCATGTAGAGCCGAGGTTGCTTCATTTAGTCCTCATACTAAACTTACTTTAGAAGGCTATTACGTAACACTTTTTCCTTAAAGTTGATTTTGTTGTGAAAACTGAAAAATCAATTTTGATGGACAAATTTTAGGTTAAGATCAGCATATTGCTTTGATCTTAAATCTGATGATTGTAAATTTCTGATATTGCAGACACTAAGTCAAGCCTGGACTACAGCCAGAGAACATTTGACAAGAACCCTTCTAAAATGATTTTGGCATGCGCTGGAGTTTCTTTCCTATTCATTCTAGAGTTTTTTACTATCTTGACAGTTATCATACTCAACACTTATTTGTTTTTTCTTTATTCTTGTTGTTACTTTGAAAACACTGAAGAGGTTTCATTTATCCTAAATAATCATTCAACCATAGAAATATACATTATAAAACTAATAAAATTTTCACCTCAAATTATCTATTTCGTAATAAAAGTTTTAAATCTTTTTACTACAATATTTTTTTTATTTGTGATGAAACAATTCACACATGTATTTTTCTTTTAGAACGCATTGGAGGCTAGATAAGTGGAAAAAATATAAAAGTGGCTTAAAAACATTATCAATCTTACGACTATGATTCACTTGATATTTTCAATTTTCTACAATTTTGTACTTAAGTTAAGAATTTAATTAAATACGCTGATTACATAAACTATACCACTTTTTAATTATTGATTGCCAGGTAAGGTTGTTAAATTTTGTAACAATTTTCATAAAATTAAATTTGCAATGTTTTACTAGTTAACTTTCAATATAAAAATTTGTACTCAATTCACTAATCGCTTCCTTTATCAATTTTCTTTTGCATAAAATCCCAAAATCTTTAGCTTCCACTCAGATGCTAAATATAATTATATGTCGGTAGTGGTAAAGAAGACATGCTAAAAAGCTTAGCAAAACGGCGTCGTATTTGCATTTGAAGAATTGACCCTTTCCGTACAGTCAGTGGAGCAAAGTTGCGAACCCACCCAAGGTGTGCATAAGAATTGAAAAGTACTTGTAGACAAATTGTGAATCTCATTAAATGCATACATTAATTTGTTTTTGTCTAGCTCCTAACTTATCACTATACATCATTGCGTTCGTTTATTATTTAATATAATATAATTTAACACTTCATTTGTGACATCCATAAATCGTGAAGTACAAAAGGACCGTTAACAAAATAAAATATGTATACAAATGTTACAAGAGATAAGTAAAAGCTGGTTGTGGATGTAAAAAAGTAAAAATATTTCAACCAGAATATAGAAAAAGTTCAAAAAGTATTTCAAACATTTACAAAAATATAAGTTTACTCCTAAATTATGTCATATCAAACAAATTCCCTTAAACCTAGTTAGAACCAACGATGTTCAGCTAGTATACCCATTTCCACCGAGATGATTTTGAATAAACCTGATTCTTAACATATTTGTAGCGAGAAATCTAAGTGTTTGTGTGTGATTTTGGCTTCTGGTAGTTAATTTTTACCAGCATCTAGGGACCTTTCATATATGACGCTTCTAGAAATCAGCCTAGTCCTTATCAAAGAAACTCCAAGAAAGTTTTGCAAAATCCATTAGATACAATAACATATATACCTTTTGTTTCCCAACTTCTCATCTGAATGAATTATATCTGCATCAAACCTGGAGGGTGCTACTGCTGTCGCAGCCATACCTTTTGGAGCATTGTACGGTCTGCAGACTCTGGATACCAAAATTCATTTCCAGTAAGGATGGTACCTTCCAGTTGTAGGACCATCGTCCTTCTCAGCCCCTTTCCCACCATCATATCCACTGCTGCGGTTGAAACTAACGTTTCTTCCATATGCATTACCATCTCCATGGGAGATAGTGCCGCCACCATAAACCCCAGGATTACCATAAGAATTCAGTCCATAGCCGCCATAGCAATACATCGGTCCACCATATCCAAAACCATAACCATATCCACAATAACCACCATAAACAGTAGCAGCACTTCCGCCAAAGCTTCCCTCAAAGTAGCCATATGCACCGTTCATTCCAGAATCTGTATACTGTCCACCTCTTTTTCCATGATTACGATTTCTTGAGCTATTCCCACCATATCCATCCATTCCATTGCTAAAACCACCATATGACTTTCGTGAGGTACTACTGATGTGATCAACTCCAGATCTTTTGGGCTCAGCTCTCTTAATTTCAACCTATATTTATAGTCAGAAAAGGGTATCCAAAAGAAAAAAATAATATCAAGTTATGTGCAGCACAATAAGAATATCCTATTCTAACTTCAACAGTTTCACTAACCTGCTTGCCTCCAATTTCATGTATTTTTCCCGCTGAAAACACCTTTTCGACTGAATCTTCGTTGTCAAAAGTTACAAATCCAAAGCCTCTAGATCGCCCAGTATTGTGATCTAACATGATTTGGCACTCAACAACATCGCCATAAGGTGAAAAGTATCCCCTCAACTCATCTACAACGTACACACAATCCAGTAGTCAGAAGACAGAACACACAAATTCCAATATAACCAAGAAGAGTAAGGGCATCTGGTTCACTATACCGTCAGTGAAAAGTTGGGGTATTCCCCCTACAAATATCTTCTTTGTTTTTAGTACTCCAATTCCTTCCATGTCCTCCCTAGGGACTGTCCTCTTCACTTCAACCTGATCAAACAAAATTGAATATGTCATCAGGAGCAAGAATATGCGCTGCTACAATGTTTGAGCCAACATGTTCGAAACAAGAAGTTACCACTCTGCCATCAATGGTATGTTCCTGGGCCAAAACATCATCTGCTACAGCTGAATCGGCAAATGTTACAAAGCCAAAGCCGCGTGGCCTTCCAGAAAGTTTATTTGTCATTATTACCGAATCTGTTACTTCTCCATATTTGCTGAAGTAATTAAAAAATGATTCTGACAAACAAAAAGAAACACATGCTAGAATGAGATAAAATATACATAAAGGAATATAGGTTCCACCTTCCCCTATCTTCGAACAGTATTCTTCAGTCCAATAAGGACACGTAAATAATAAGTAAACAGAAAGTGAATGAATTAACATAATAATAACATAGTCTTTTGTATCAAACAAATTGCGCTTGAGTTGCATGCATGGCACAAATCAAGGATGAGGGAAAAAACTCTACAAAAACATTCTGATCCACATTTTAATTGTAATGCTTAATAACACTTCGCATCAGATAACAACCTATAAAATATACTCAATGAACAAGATAAATAGTTCAACTAAATACTCCTAATCAGTACTTCAGACTCTCTTCAAAAGTTGCCAAAAAATCACCATAGAACAATCAGCACCAGAAAATAATGTTCAAGAAAAACTGAGAAGGGCTGAAAACTACCAAACAGGCTACAAAGAGTATGGATACAAATGGCCTTTTCTAATCATTGAACTAGTACCGATAACACTCTTTAGGTCCGCTATAGAAGTCAAGCGGTGTGTGGCGCCTGTCTTAGGCAGCTAAAAGATTTGCAAAGCAGAACATTTTTCAATTGCAGCCACCGAAGCAGTAAATTCGGCCATTGTTGTGACAACTTCTGGCACTATAGCTGCACAACAGAAAGCCCTGTCGAAAACTCATTTCCCTCAAAGCTGTGCCATTTTCAGGGATTGAGGGAGTAGATATTTCCCTCACCTCACCCAGGTAGCATTTTTCAACTGATAACCAGACTGTGACTCGTGTATGTGTATGTTTTAATTGTCAAGGTAATTTTTTGTTCAATCAAGAATCATAATGTGTACCAAAAAGTAAGATTCAGAGGCAATAAAAAATAACTCCAGAATATATCTTATACATAATAGTAGATGTGTTTGAGTTTGTGAAGTCTTTTTCTTGGTCCAGCCATGGTCCCCACCAGCCCACTGGACCAGCGGCTGGCGGCTGGCCCAGAAGGTTTTTGCACAAGACGGAAATGTAATTCAGGACATAGATAGGACCCAACAAGTGCGAGCACGGTAGTTTTCGAAGTCTGTAGTTTCAAAGAACGAAAACTAGGCAACAAAACATCCATGCATGGAGCAGGAATTGAATGAACGAGTGACAAATAAAGTAGTAGATCAGAACTGCTCCTCCGGTTCTTTTCATTCAATAATTTAAGAACAGGCATACATGGACGATAAAACAAAAATCCCTTCGTATAAATTTTCTACTCCAACCGGAAAATATTAAATTTAATTTATGGAGAAGAAGTGAGAATACCTTGAGAAGTTTCCCACGAAATGCCCCCAACGAAAAGTTTCCTAACATAAAAGAAAAACCAAATCGTCAAAATACCCACGAAAGAAGTGTAATTGGGAGAAGTTGTGGCGCCAAGAACATGCAAGAAAAAAACTAACGCCGCAAAACCCCCTTCTCCACAAAACCCATGTACCACCACCCACTACAGAAGTAACTAACCCTGAAGACGAATCACGAGGATTGGGGGAGGGTTTTGCGAGCTCGTCATTCGCATCACCATTGTAGGCGCCAGGTTCAGATTCGAATTGCAAGCCATGTTGAGAAGGAAAATACTCCATTGAAAATTTCAGCGTTGAATTACTCTCTAACCCTACTACTACACCCAAAAGAGTGCAATTTCAGAAGATAAATAATCGCACATGCTATGGCACAACGCAGATTGTTGGAAAATGAAGAAAAGCAGAGTGAAAAACCCTAGAAGTTGAAATGCTCAGAAACCTCTAGCTTTCCCTTACCCACTACACCTGACACAAAATTCCACACTAAAAAGCCCTTTGAAACTAAAAAGGTGCAAAAATATATAAACAACTTTTATTTCTGCCACTTAAAATTTGGATCAATTTATTTAACATTTTTTTTCCCCGGAAATGTTGTCTGTTCAAATAACTGCATGTAAGACAAGTGTCTTCTTATGCAACATCATAAATAAATTACATATTTTCTTTTTTTTCACTTTTTTTTCCTATTTGAATCTTTATTTTTGTTAACCAATTTTTTACTTTACATAATTTAAAAAAAAAATACTCATCATAAATATTTAAATCTGTTTTTATTCATAATCATAATAATTAATAAAAAAAATTTATATATGCTTTATTATATTTACTTTTTATTTTGATAGAAAATTATAAGTGTTTTTATATATAATTACAACATTACAGAAATTAATGAGAAATATGTATCTTTATATACACAACTTTTTTATAATATTAATATAATTTTTAGTATGATTATTTTATTAATTAATTTTTTATAATACAATTCACTGTAAATAGGTTTTCTTTACCCTATTAATAGGATGAAGACAAATAGTAAGAAACATGTACCTGTGATAACCGCGATTTGTAATTTCGATGTATTTAACTATATATTAAACAGCTTGCTTAATTAATTTTTAACACAATTATATATAATTTTAATATAAATGTGTTTATGAGTCTACCATTAAATTAAAAACCCACTAAAAATATCATTACCAGTATAAACAACTAAAAATAAGTTAATGGATAATCCATAGATGAGTTTTCATTCTCTTAAATAAGAAAACAGGTACAATTCTACAGTACACTAAACTCAGAGTGCACTTTTCTTCAACTTTTCATTACAGATTGAAGAACTTCACAAAGGTTAAGTAATTGTGTTTTTACCTTTATCTCTACAATTTCAATATACTGAAAAAGAAGAAGAAATAAAATAAAAGAAAACTCCACTTCTGAAGGGAAAATATTTGTTCCAAATTAAACCTGTAATGTAATGTTCTTAATCTTCTTACAATTTTTGAATATGAAATTCTGAAACTGTATCATTGTTATGGACACAACTTGAACCGATGAGAAGGATGGCCCCATGAATGAGTCAAATGCTAAAAAATAACAGAATTCACATTCTCACATAATTTTTGGATTTGGGTGAGATCTGACCGTTTCTTTTAGGATTTCTTTCCTGTTTCACTAAGTTGAACTCATTCATGGGTTCATCCTCTTCATTAGCCAAGTTGTGTCCATAACAATAATGCAGCTCCAGAACTACATATCCAAACACTGTAAGAAGGATTAAGAACATTTGGATCACAGGTTTTAGTTTGAAACAAACATTTTTTTCAGCAGTGGAGTTTTCTTGGATTTTATTTCTGTTTTTCTTTTAGTATACTGAAATTGTGGTGATAAAGGTAAAAACACAATTACTTAATTATATATTAAACAAAAGTTGGACTCATTCATGAGTCCATCCTCTTTTTCAGCCCAAGTTGTGTCCATATCATGAATCTGGTTCAGTCACCTTCTGCTTGCTCTTCACTGGACCTAACATGGCAAGAAGTACATACATGGCACTATATATTATCTTCAGGACAGAGTTGGTGTTGAATTTGGCCACAATCAGTAGCTTCTTCAAGGCTCCAATTGCAGTCCTTCATAGATCAGTGGGGTGGATCAGGTGCTATTTGATGGAACAGATCAAGCATGGCATAATGATCGGTATCATAACACAGCTTCATGTTTTGGTGTGGATTTGTTTCATTTTGACTGATACACACACATAAAAGATAAGAAACTTCATCTTAATTAATAACAAAAGCCCTTGAACATAAATTATGATTCTTGAAGACCAACTTCATAAATTGTTTAACAAGTTCCAACTTAACCTGTTTGTGTCTTTTTGGCAGACCATACGTTTCAATTAGAAGGGTGATGTGCTATGCACCATTTGGCAGAAAATATACAAGTTTTATGCTTAAAAAGAAGAAATTAAAAAAATATATACATAATTTTATATTTATAAAATAACTTTAGCTTATAAACTAAATTTGAAAATGAATATGATAAAATGCTAACCTTGGCTTTAATCATCTAATTCATCATCATCATCTTCAAACTCTTCCTCTTCTTCTTCTTCATCTTCCCCCTCCTTATCATCATCATCTTTATCAGCAACAATGAATCCACTCAGTGTCTCATCATCATCATCATCATCTTCTTCTTCTTCTTCATCTTCTTCATCAGTAGCTGTTTTCTTTCCTTTAGAATTTTTACTAGCTTTGGTATCTTTGTTACCTCCTTTATCATCTTTTGACCTTGTGGAGTACCTGGGCAGCTTCTTCTTCCGCATACTGACAACAACGCCCTTATCATCGTCACTTTCACCAGTCCACTCATCATCTTCGTTTACCTTACCCAGTTTTCGTTTCCCCCTCATTCTCTTCCTCTTCTTCTCACTATCATCTTCCTCATCTTCGCTATCCTTTCTATGTTCCTCAAGGAACCACTCCCAATTCTTCGCGTTCCGAATCATCCCCTTAGGATAGTTGTCAAACTCGTGCCCCATCACAAGAAAACCAAGCTCTGCATTTTCAAAATCACAACATAATAGAACTTTAGTTTCCAATAAAAAAATGGTAGGTTTAACTTAGATGATTGTTACTGAAAAAGTCTACAAAAAAATAAAATAACATCCTACTCATGAAAACCACTCTCTCTAGTACCCCTTTTTTCTAACATGGTTAAAATTTAGTGAAAATTAGAGATTCAATAAAAAAGATGTTTTCTTTATCAAATTTCTCCAACAAGACTCGTTGTATTCAGAAGAATGCTTAGGAGTGACACAGGACATTACACAACCTTCCACCGAAAAAAAAGTATAAACATTTCAGCACAAGCAACAACCAAATTCACATGAGAAATGGAGCCGAAAGAAACAAAATTGAAAGAGGATGTTAAGAACAAGGAAAGGCAGTGATACCTTTAACGGGATCGATTTCCGAAATGTTAATTTCGTCAAGGTTAAGCTGAGGAAGAGGTTGCTTGTTCCTGAGAGTGAAGGAGTACCAGAGAGGTGCGTTGGGAGAGAAACAGAAACGGTCTCCGGGTTGCAAGTGACCCTTCTCGAACTTTCTGAAGAACCGAAGCGTTTCTCCGTCGTACACCCAAAAGGGGTTCTTCCCCATCACTTCGAACGAAACCCTTGCATTAGCATCAGCAACCACTGAGTCTGAATGGTGGAGTTTGAAACACACGTGGCGACGAGAAACTGTGCGGTCGTGAGTGCTGAATCCACAACCTCGTCCAAACACAGTTTTCTCATCATTTTCCAGTGCCAATTTGGAACCATCTTCACCCTCCACTTCCACCTGCATGCTTAGATTTTCTTCAGCCCACAAAAATCCCTCCTTTTCTTTTATGCTTTCAGTTAACAGTACAAAATCAAATACAAAACAACTACCATTCGAAATTCCATGTATACCCTCCATTTCCTTTGTCTAAATTAATCATTTTTCAACAAATCAAATGGAGATATATTTATCAAAATTAAATTGTAATGTGTAAAGATGAAATTAGTAATCTTTTATCTGTAGTTACAAGTTACATCATGGTATACACTTTGTCGTTCCACAATGAATCAGTTTTAGTCATTTATTAATATAAGTTGGTTGATATTCGTTTATTTTTCAACAAAGTATTAATCTTTTCTTGTAATTTTCCTCAAAATAATAATTTTTTCCGACCAAAATCATGCATTTATTAAAGGATGAAATTATTTCAAAAAAGTTATTTTGAAAAATCATGTAAGAGTTATGAGAAGAGAAGGGGTAAAAGGGAAAAAGGAACAATAACTTGGCCTCCCTCTTATCTATAGTGGTAGTGTTGAGAGTGGGCACAAGTGTCGGGTGTGGTGTGGGATAAAGTGCGGTCTGTGCTGATGTGTTCCACGTTTTGTTCTTCCATTCCCCGTCACTTGAACCTTACATCCATGATGATCATGAAGCCGCGAGCTCAAGCTAGTAAGTGTTTTATCATCATCGTTTTCCCTTTCAATTTCCAGTGTCCCTACTCATACTGTTTCAGTAACGGAGCCACCGTCGCGGGTTGGTTTTTTGGGCATCGGAATCATGGGCTCCCCAATGGCCCATAATCTCCTTAAAGCTGGGTATGTTACTTTCCCAATGCAGTTCTCATGCTATATCCTTTTATTCCTGATTTGGTCTTCACCCTTCATCCATCCTTGTTTGTTTTTTGCACTTTTAATTAATTGGCATTTCTTCTTGTTGTAGGATTGATGTCACTATTTGGAATAGGACCAAGAGCAAGTGTGACCCTTTAATCAGCCTTGGAGCAAAGTGAGTTCTTTCATATTCAGATGCAGGATTGTAATGACGTACTTGTGTTTCTGTGGTCTGTGGGTGACACTTGCCTTTTTGAAAAGACTAATAAAGAGAAGAACTAAATTTGCCAATTCGATGTGTGTTTGAAAGCTTGTGTATTTGTTTTCTGCAGATATAAACCCTCTCCTGAAGAAGTAGCCGCATCTTGCGATGTCACCTTTGCCATGCTTGCTGATCCTCAAAGTGCAGTGCGTATAATTTGCTGTAGTTTTTTAAAGATTAGATTTTAGTGTCTAAGCTGGTTAACTCTGTTTCACATCAGTTGGATGTTGCTTGTGGGAAGCATGGAGCTGTGAATGGAATGGATTCAGGGAAAGGGTGATAGATTTTAATTTTGTTTATTGTATATTTCCATTTGACAGATAATGGCATTTGAAATCAATATTGACTCTTTTCTGCACTACATACAGACTGTTCCCCCCTTCATTCCTTAATCTTTTCATTGAAAATTTCTATATCTAATTTGATTATAGACTAACCATATTCCATAGTGACCGAGACATTGCATATCTTGGTTCACCATATGCCTGTTTAGTTGTTTACTTATTTAAAATGACAAAATGAGAGATAGATCTTAGTATTGAGGTTAATACCTTATCTATTTTCATTCAGATACGTGGATGTTTCAACTGTTGATGGGGACACTTCTAAATTGATTAGTGGGCACATCAAATCCACTGGAGCATTATTTTTGGAGGTGCAGTATTTTTATAGTTTTTAATCCGTACCTATTCTTTATGGCACATTCAGGGTGCTATGTAATTGAGATATGTGTGAATGCCTTGCTTGCTTTAGTTGAATAGTTAGATAAAAGATTTTGTAAGTTGTATTGTAACACCTACAATGCCATTTGTTTGTACCCACAGGCTCCAGTTTCAGGTTCAAAAAAGCCAGCAGAAGATGGGCAATTGATATTTCTTACAGCAGGTGAATATTACTATTCAACTACTAATAAATTAATTCAATTTGGCATGAGAAAATTGTTGGTAAATAGATATTTATTTTTTCATAAGAAATTTCGGGCTAATATGTGATATGTAAGTTGTAACACTTATTGCAATACAAGGTAGCTGCAGATATTTAAAATTATAAATTTATAGACAGGTCACATTCTAAAGATTTTTTTCCCTTTATAGCTCTCATTTGCATAATTAACACTGCATACCATTGTGAATGCATTCAGATTCTATTCTCATCAGAGTATTGAGCATTTACAGAATCTGAGGCAATGTATATAATATGTTTCAGGGGACAAACATCTTTATGATACAGTTGCTTCTCTCTTGGACATCATGGGGAAAGTATACATATCTGATTTTTAATTTAAAAAAAAAATCTATAATCTTCCTGGCAAAACAAATTCATGTATGTTTCACACTTCTATGCAGTCTAAATTTTATCTTGGCAATGTTGGAAATGGAGCTGCAATGAAACTCGTTGTCAATATGATCATGGGCAGGTCTTTTACAATTTATTTGGTTCTTTTCCTGTTACTCATCCTTTTGCACTAATGATTAAGTGACGCTATTTCTTTCTACATTTTCCAATGATCTATAGTATGATGGCATCCTTTTCTGAAGGCTTACTCCTCGGTGAGAAGGTTGGCCTTGATCCAGATGTACTGGTGCAGGTATTTGTCCATTTCTATGTCCATGAAATATAACCCACCTGATACGGTCAACAGAGTATTTTGCTGGTTTTCCTATTGGGGGAGACTGTTCTAAATAGATGACTACATTTGTTGATGACTACATGATTTTTTTCTACTAGGTTGTCCATGTTCACATTCGCTTTATTCCTAATCCTAGCAGAACTATTTGGCCAGAATCTGTCTTCCTTTGATGTTCATCTTCATTGTTATTTATGTAGGGAGGGTCAGAACACATAGGTTTCCACAATGGTAAGATATTTTCTGCTCTGCACTAAGTCCTTACGGATTTGTTTTTGGTACCACTCCAAAAGACCTCTTATAATTGGTGTCAGAACGGACAATATCTTATAAAAATGGAGACTTATGTGTGTTGACCCTCCCTACAGTTTATAAGAAAGTACTGTCCTGAGTACTTATAAAACTGTTGACCCTCTATGAAATGGCAATTTTGCAGGTAGTTTCACAGGGTGCCATTAGTGCTCCAATGTACTCAATCAAAGGTCCATCCATGATACAGTCACTTTACCCAACTGCATTCCCCCTAAAGCATCAGCAGAAGGTGTGTGAATGTTGACATTCCTCTTTCATAACTTTCAGACTTGATGACTTATATTTTGGCTGTCTCACACAAAATTAATGGTGACAGGATCTAAGACTAGCCCTGGGGTTAGCAGAGTCTGTTTCCCAACCCACTCCTATTGCAGCAGCTGCTAATGAGTTATATAAAGTTGCAAAATCCCATGGCCTTAGTGATCAGGACTTTTCAGCTGTCATTGAAGCATTAAAATCCAAATTTCAGCACTCAGAGACCAAGTGACTTTCTTACAAACATGTTGAAGTTGAACAGTGTAGCAAGTTAGGCAAATTGAATCAAGTATAGACTTCCACTGTGAGCCTTGCCCATTTAAATTCATTCCCCAAATGTATGATATATATATATATATATATATATATTTGAATATTTCCAATGATCTAAATTTTTTGCTTAAAATTGTCTCAATAAACTTCTCTTAAAAATAGCACTCCAACTTCTTACTGAGATTAAAATATACTGGGCAAGTAATATGTGTGGTAGTATATATATAGTAGTTCTTGTTATCTGTGTATAAAAGAAGTAGGTTTCATTTACTGCAAAATGGTGAAAGACATAAAGTTGAAAGAATATAAGAACCCTGTATAACATTTCAAACTTCATGTATCTTAGTTTAAGGATACTTGATTGCACTGCAAAATGTGTCTTCAATCAATGCAGATATTTAGTTCCTTAATTCCTTCATATTGTAATTGTAACATAAAGAAATTAAAAAAAAAAAAAACTGATTTTCTCTTATTTTCTTAATATTCCTTATAAAAGAATTAATTTCTTCATTCTCAGGTTTCATGTCCTCCATTAAGTGAGCGTGGAGAGAAGATGAGGGAAGGAAGAAATAAACACCACTTCTTATAATGATTAATGGAATACTTCAATATCATTGGAACTTGTTTTAAATGGAATATTATTTTTTTTCTTCATTTTGAAGACCACGTGGTTGATATTATGAGAATTTAAAGGATAATTGAAATGAAACATAGAATACTTTTAAGATTATATTCTTAACAAGAGTTCATATAATTATTTTAAAAATGATTTTTGTAATGCATTTGCATGAAAAAAAAAATCACATTCTTCTGATAAATGGACTAAAAATATCTATAGTTACTTAAAATCTTGTATTTATATTTGTGAAATGTGTTATCCCAACCAAAGTTATCTAACGAGAGGATAATTTTATACTCTCTGGACAAAAATAGAGACTTTTATTCAAATTGAATCAAGATCCAACTCGTATAGATCTATAAATAATTTATATTATAATATGAAGTTATTTTAACTATAAGTATTGTTTAAAGTTATATCAAAATTTTATTTTAAAAATAAAACATTTATTATATAAATGTTATTTTTATCACGCTATGTTTATAAGCTGTTTTAACGAATAGGATTATTGAGGTTTCTTAATTTAATGAATCGGTATAACAAAAATATTAGCCGTTACTACCAACTTTCAACTACCAACTAGTTTAACTGTTTTGTAACTGAATTTTCTAACTTAAACCAAAATCTAAGTCCTATATTTGACGGCCAACTTCCACGGCACGTTCTTTGAACTCATTACAAGAGCCAAAAAGACACTTTTCTTTACAACTGCTTAACCACTTGCAAACAAATGAAAAGGCTATATATATAGAGATTTTAGAAAATATTCATTGTTTTGGTTCGTTCTCTCTTCTTTCTTTGCAGTCTTCCCTAACACTCATTCCTTCACCATGTCAGATAACTCCGACAATGCTTCTCCTGACTCCGACGGTATCTTGAAACTCTTTCCACCCTCTTCTTTCTCTTACTTATAACTGTCTGATTATTCTACTCTCTTTTTTCTGTTGTTGGAACGTAAATTTATGAACTTTTGAATTTCTGTGCAGTTCTTACTCCTAATGACGACAGTACTGATACAATGAAGGTAAGTTTTACCATGCAAGCATATATGTATTCTTGCGGGATGTATTCTTATATCTATAATACTGTCTGAAATGTACAATGCATTTTAAAAATTTACCCACGTCAAGATTTTAACTAATGTTTCTTAAAATCTTTTCTCTCACCCTTTTTCTTGATCTGTATGATAATATATAAACCTTTATCAACTTTAGCTTTTTTGTTAGTTCTTATTTCGTTAGGCAAGAATTGTAAGGTAATTAAGAAGAAAGAAAGAAAGAAGCTATCTTTTTACATAACTATTTCTCTCAAATAATTTTCTTTTTAATGATAAAAGAAACTTTGTCTACAATTGCCTTTTTTGACGATGGAAAAGAAACTCGATTACTTACTAAAATAGTTACCCTTTTTCAAATCAGGGAGACTTAACATGTTTTCAAATGTAAAAAAAATACAAAAAACTCAAACCCATAATCACAGACATGTTATAATATCCTGATCTTTCAATATGTTTTCCTCTTTCTTTTTGTGTGCTAATTTTTGTGTTAATATGACCATTTTTCAATAAGAATCTTTAACTTTGTACTAGCAAGTTTTGTCTATAGCTATACATGAAAACTTTGCCTAATACACGACCAGTTTATAACTGTTTAAATATGTTGAATTCAAGAAGTTACAAGAAATAATTCAGGGATTTAGCTATAACCCAGTTGACACTCTTTGTACAGGACAATTCCCCGCATTCAGCTGAGGAAAATGTGGGCATCCTGGACCAATTATCACCAAAAGTTAGGAATCGTGTGGAATATCTCATAGAAGTTCAGGTCTGATGTTGTTGTCATCTATTCAGTTGTTGTGATGTCAAGAATTGAAATGGTGGAAGTATTTTGTTAAAGAATATCCTCAAATCTCAGAGAATTAATAGTTTTAGATAATGTACCTCTTTGGTTATATTCAATTTCAAAACTCCGTAGCACTAGTCAATATTTATTTGTAAGAGAAAGTCTACTCCCATTACTCTTCATATTAGAAATTTCATTTTATGTTAGACAGAAGTGAAGTTCTGAATTCTGATTTCGTTCCAAATGCAGGAAGCCTTTGATAAGGTGCTGGATGAGTTATTTGAGGAGCTATCACGGTTGGAGGATAAATACGAGAAGCTATTTGCGCCAATTTACAGACAAGTATGTATGTTGCTCATTATTTGTAAGATATCTTACTGATTTATGAGATTTTGTGGTGAAAGAGGAGGATTTGTACTTTCTATGGATTTGATGGAATAATGATCACTCACCCTTACAATGGTAACATATTATCTTTTTGTATTTGATATGTTTTTGTTCATTACAGAGGTCTGAGGTTCTCTTGGGCATCAAAGAGGAAGAACTTTCAGATGAAGATGATCCAGAAAAAGCCATGAACAGAGTGTTTGGAATACCTAACTTCTGGCTAACTGTTATGAAGCGTAAAGATATACTGGCTGAATTGGTAAGGGAATTTATGTTCATATATATTCTACAGTTTCCGTTTGTTGAAAAGATTGTAGGATAATTATGTACTTTTCTTTTCCCTTTTTTCAGATCACTGAAGATGACGAGGGGGCCCTCCAATATCTTGAAGATATAAAGTCGTGTAGACTTGACGATTCTGGTGGCTTCATGCTGGAGTTTTTCTTTTCTTATTCTCCTTCTCCTTATTTCAAAAACTCTAAGCTAGAAAAAAAATATAAGATTGACAGGGATGGTCCCGTGTTAATAAAAGCCAGAGGGTAAGAAACATTTGTCAATTTGCAAGTGTTTATATCTATGTTTTCATTTTCTGCAGATTTGTTTTTAATATTTAAACATTGTAGGACGAAGATTAACTGGCATCCAGGAAAGTGCCTGACAAGAAAAGTTCTTCCGAAGATGGGAAGGAGAAGATCCAACGATGATAAGCCCCTCACAAACACAAGGAAAAGTTTCTTCAACTTTTTCAATCCTCCCCTTGACCATGATGATGATGATGATGAAGATGAAGATGTTGATGAAGATGATGTACCTGTACGTCTCTGATTTTAACTATCTATTATCTAATGGAAAGTTATCAAATGATGTTTACTGATCATTGCTTTTGATGCTTTCTTGGATAGATTGAATTGATCCGGAAGGATTACGACATTGGGTAAGTCACTTAATGATATTTCTTATTCTACTTTTGATCCAAGTGATGAAGACTCCTGGTTTATCCATTGGTTTTGATGGAAAAGACCTTTTTGAATGATTTGTTCTGTGATTTTGCATCTTTTTTTGACAGTAAAGTTGTTTATAGTACACCACATTTCGAATTCATGTCAGTAAAACAACAATTTTTTACATTTATGGAATGTTTATTACCACTTTTGTGTTATTGAGATTGATTTTTGTTCATGTGGAAGTGCAGTTGTGTAATTCGGGACGAAATCATTCCTTTTGCTGTGTCATGGTTCACGGGGGAGTTTAGAGACAAAGAGCTTTTTGTGAAATATATTAAGATGGCGAAGTGATGGGATGAAGAGGAAAATAGCAAAAGCAAAAGAGAATGCTATGAAAAAGGACACAATTTAGGGACATTCTGTTTCATTCTTGAACTATATTACTGTTCTTGGTAACAGTGTTTTGTTGGTGTAAACTGCAGATTGGTGGCACTTCCTTAGTGCAAGTGCCAGTGGTGTTTTTCTGTGTATAAATACTGTACACATGTGGGGGTTATTTCGGTCATTTTTGCTGCTTGGGTTTTCCTATATGATTGTCTTCTGAGAACATCTAAGTAAACTCAAAAATCATAATCAGTCTTATTCTACTTCTCACTTCTAATATTTTTTCTGTAAGTATTAATTATCTTCTTCTCTTTTTGATTTTATTCTAAATATTAATAAATAGTATTATTGACTAAATTATTTAGAAAAAAATAGTCAAAAATGAAAATAATATATTTTATGACTTTTTAACGTTCAAAATACACACAAAAAGTGAATATTTCATAACATATTTTGATAATAACAAATTTCTTGTAAAGAAATGACATGGACTTTACTTGTATTATAAATAATTGTGTTACAAAAGGGTTTGTGTTTAATTTTCTCTCCCATAGTTTTTTTCTATTTTCAATTTAAAATTTATAGTTCTGTAATTTTAAATTGTTAGTGAGATGAAGATGTTTGATCCTTGCATATCATAAGTAAGTACACTTGTTAATAATGTTTCAGTGATTCATCATTTTTTATTGTCAGCTTTACATAATTAATGTTCAGTTATATTTAGGTGATAATTTAACTCTAGTAATGACTAGATTAAAGCGTATTAATTAGTAAGAAAGAACTAGGTTATTAAATTGCTATATTTTGGTTGCACTGCCTTGTGTTTATGGAAATTAAAAAGAAAAAAGTGTTGCCACCTTCGTATTATTTCAATTATGTCTGCTTATGTTAAAGTTTCTCTCTTTCTTAATTTGATTATCTAGACAGCACATGACTACTGCAATAAAAAAGACATGTATTTGTTAAATCAGACAATTAAAAGGTTTTTTTATCCACAAATACAAGCTGTAAATAGATCTCTCTTTCTCTTTATTTTTCCTACTAAACCAACTTTATAACAGTCATGAGAAAAGTTTAAAACAATCTATTATTCTTGTTAAATACTGTAAGAGAAGAACACAATATTTGTTATATTACAGTGATGAAATCGCAAACACTGATAAAACGACAAACGATGATTCTGAATTTCCTACGGGGTCATGTGTGTTTGTTTTAAAACACACTTTTTAGTTCCTCCTACAAATGAATTGACTTTTCAATGGAACATAGAACTGTCATAAACACTTCTATTTAGTTTCAGTTGATTTTTGCTTTCTTCATGCTCCAAGCACTCAACTTTGTGATCTTGACAGAGGCAGTTCCATTGTTGAAAACATATAACCGTGCCTTGTCGTTGATTGCTATCGTGGGATACACTCTTGCTGTGATGCACGCTCTTCCTTCGCCTTCAAAACTTTCAACCACCGAGTGATCAATCTGTCAATGTCAAAAATAAATCTTACTTAGTTTGCTGTTTCAAATGAATCATTTGCTCTTATGATTGAAGAAAATCCAATCCACAAACATGCTTTTCGTAATAAACTTTGTGTGTATGGTTCCATGAATTACGTCATCAACTTACCAAAGTTCTTAGAGAGAGCTTCTCGCGAAGAGGGTCCACGTCCACAAAAGTTCCATAGGTTGTCTTGTCGTTATCGTTATTCAAAGAAGACCTGTCAAAGTATTAAATTTGCATAAATAAGAGAGAGAGGTTTTGGAGTATCTCAAGTTTGACTAGTAACAAAGTTTGATAAAAGAGAAAAAAAAATTGCACAGGGAAAGAGACAGAAGACAAGGACAAACCTGCTTTGGTCGCTGCACATGAGAACCAAATTTTTATTTTGGTATCTAAATATTCTAAACAACACTGCTGTGTACTCTTGCAAGCCACGAGAAGCAAAAACTAACAAACCAAAGGGTCCCAAACCACCTTTTACGTTTGCACCCTTTCGACCACACAGAACTTGAGGATCTTCCCAATGGTCCAATACTTCGGCCTTTTCAAACCCATTTACTTCAAATGCAATTTCAACGTCAGCCTGCCGCAAATAACCAGTTAGAACACCCACTTTCATACACAGATAACGTTGTCTCTTCATCTATATTATCAATATAATTTTGCCTTTATTCTGTTAGTCACCAGTGTAATTAATGATTGAAAAGCTTTCACGAGAATCTGCTACCATAATTAATAACTTTGAAAACTACGAAAATATCGCCTTATATGCAATAGAACATGAAGCATAATTAGTCTCTCAACCATAAATCAATATTTTACAGTAACTACTGTATACTATATATACTGAGTTTGATATTGAGTAATAGTATATTTAGATCGAATACGTGTAATCATTAAACTATTCCCTACGCAGATGTTTTAACTTAAAAAAAACTCCTTTGGCCTTATACATAATGCGGTTTACGTATTATAGAGTTGCACCAATATAAATGCAAGATTTAACATTTTGCAGATATAGAGTAATAGTGTGTATATTTCTCTGAAAAGATTGTTCTAACATGTAGTAAAAAGTACCTGTGCCGCAGTAACACCAGTGACTTGAAGAGTTTCACCACCATTGACCACTTTGGAGTGCCAGTGGACAGGGTTCACACGCAAGCTTTCAATTTCAACAACCGGCCATTGCACCAGCTGTTTCCCCGATTTATGAAGCCAAATGGTCCTTGGAATAGTCTGCAAATATATATTCAAATAAACCAATCCATAGAATTTAATTTAAGAATATAATAACAAATGAAGAAACTGAGTTCAGCTTACATGGATTCCGGACCATCCTTTCTTGATATCATCATCCTTAGTTGAGGATTCGTTAACCCAACCGAACAAAACCCTTCTGTTCTTTCCATCTTCAAAAATGGTTTTTGAGGCATAATACTTTCCATAGTCGTGTCTTAAAATGGGTTTACTATTCTCAAATCCGCTATCCGGAGTGAAGATATCCTTTGCAGAGTCATAAGTCCCAATCAGATAATGATCATGTTTGGTATCATCCAAGCTAACCTTGAGCACATGCCTAACATGATCACCATTCACTGATGTGTCAAGGCCAGTAGTCAATGGACTCTTATTCCGAACTGGATAGAAATCAGGGCACTCCCACATTCCAGTGCCTTCTGCTGAATGAAGGGGGTGGTCTGCTTGAACCCAGTTCACAAAGTTTTTGCTTTTGTACAGAATTGCCACACCCCTTGTGTGTACTTTGCTTCCAATCAACACCCTCCAGTACCCATCTTTGCCTTTCCAAGCAGTGGTGGGGTCCCTAAATGAGCTAGAATTTATCTGGTTAGCTTGAGTTGGGGCCATGAGAGGATTCTTGGGTGACTTAACCCATTCCCTTAATAAAGGGTCAGAGAAATTTTTGGGTATTGCTAGGTTTTGAACTTGGTGATTGTTAGGGTCAATTCCTGTGTATAAAATGGCTGGTTTGCCCCCTGGAAGGGTAGTTGCTGAGCCTGACCAACAACCGTTGATATCAGACTGCTGAGAAGGGTAGATGGCATGATCCAATGGAGTCCAATTAACTAAATCCTTTGATACTGAGTGGGCCCACACTATATTTCCCCAAACAGCACCTTTTGGATTGTATTGATAGAACAGATGATAAAGTCCTTTGTACCTCATTGGTGCTGCACAAAAACCCACGTACAACCATATCTTTAGCCATGAAAAAACACAGTATATTGTCGGACTATTACATGGTAACAACTTTCATGACTATACATCATGTTAATTTATTGGTTTTTATATTTGAAACGGATACAAAAAAATTATAAGAAAATTGTTACAAAAACATTTTTCTCTGTTATCCATAACATGCATGTTTTATACATATATAGAGCATAAACCAAGGTGTGAAAGAGAATAAAACTAACCATTAGGATCTGCAGAATATCCCCAGCACAGCATCAAATGACAAAAAAAGAAGCAAAATGAAAAGTAGTTAGAGATATAAAATATTGACCACAGCAAATTGATTTAAGGAAAGAGTGTTTCAGACTGTTTTATGTTGTAGGATTATATTGTACAGTTTATCCAATTCTTGGGAGGTTGAAAATGATAAGCAGTTCTGTAAGGTTGATGATCAGATGAGTGAGAAGAAAGAGTCTGAAGATTTCTGTAAACATGGTGGGAAGCTTCAATGGGAAGAACACCATTGCCATAGATGAGAAAGAATGACAAGAAAATTAGAGAGATGGCCATGGAGGCTTTCAATGTAATGCAGTGAAGTGAGGGGAACTTATGTTTCGTGCATCTTATATAGATTCGGATCTTCCACAATTTGGTAATCAGTGTTGCAGTTTGACTTTTAAAACTTCAAACAAAACACTGACAGTTGTACAAAACAATATATGATCACAAATAAATAAAAAAACTGAAAACGAGTCAGAAGGACTTTTGGACTGAATTGCATCTGGATCCTATTTGCATGGAAAAATCTGCTGGCTATTTTTGAAATTTTGCAAACGGGATATGACAGAAATCAGAGTCATTTGTAGGGTTCTTATTAAATATTTAGAAAGAAAATTCAAAGATGTGAAGCATTTCTAGGAAAGAAATGTATTGATTTTTAGGTTTCTTGCTAATAAATTAATGTCGGAAGTCAAATAAAAGAAGGTGCAGTTTTTTTATATATCCATTCACATTTAAGAGCATGATTATTACTGTGTCATTAGATTCAGAGAGTCAATAAAATACAATATATTGTTTTTTTTTTCTTTCTCTTGACTTAGGAGAGTTAGTTCGCAACTTCCACACGTCTATCTTAATATTTTTAAATTAACAACATTTTCACCGACGAAATAAATCAAGCGAGTGAAAAATAATATAAAAAGGGAAGGAAAACAAAGGATAAAAAAATTATATGAAATATGTTTTTCTTCAAATAAAAAAATAGAAATAAAAAATCGGTTTTTTTAGTGTTCTACCTACATTTACAAAACTTAAATATTTAACTTCTTTTTTATTTAAAAATATTTACTCAATAATTACACAAAGTGTATACCACTAAAGTCTAACCTGTCGAAAATTCTCGTGGAAATTTGTGTTACTGATGAGACAAAACGAACTAATTATCAAGATTAACATCACAGTTAATTATCATAGATTTAACAGTTAATAGTAATGTCGAATAAGAAGATAACAAATAAGAAAGAACACCTG